CTTTCACAGGGGTCGCCTAAGACCATCGGAAAACACATATATAATTACATATTGTTTTTGTGATTAATCACTATGCTTTAATTATGTTCAATTTGTAACAGTGAAATTGGGGGTCACCACAACATGAGGAACTGTATGAAAGGGTCGCGGCATTAGGAAGGTTGAGAACCACTGCTCTAGAACATGAAGTAGCACCTGCCATGTCTGCTGTCGTGTCCTTTAAAACCCACCCTCCAGGGACCGATGCCTTCTCACCTCCCTTCTCTTCGTGGGTTTATGAGTTTTAAATTCAATTGTGGTTCGTTTGTGGTGTTTGGGAGGTTAGAGAACAACCTACCATGTTTCCCTGGAAGTTCTTCTGAGACAAAGAAAACCACAGTCACATCTCAGGTTACAAAAGTAGTAAGTGCCCTTTGCAAGCACTTGCGGGAGTATCGGTACGTAAATGAGTAAAGTGGCAACCTCCATCTCTGAGGCCAAACCTCAGAGTTCATGCCTCTGTGTGAACTCTTCATGCCTCTCCCCCATCAGACAGTTCGCCATCCACACACGTATCACAATCATTCCGTCCCCTGCAGGAGAATAATGGCCAAACCCACCCGCAGACATTCTTGCACAGGGACCTTTGCGCATCTTGAGGAATATTTCTTTTCTTTTGTTTTTATAATTTTTTAAAAAATTGTGGTCATAATTTTAGACTTAAGAAAAGTTGCAGACAAGTACAAAGAATTCACACAATGTTTGCCTTATCATCTCCCCCATCCTCTCACCCCACACATTTATAACACGCACCTATCCACACACATGTACACTTATGGATACATAAGCATATTTTTTCTGAACCTCTTAAGAGTAAACTGCATTCATGCTGCCCCTTCACCAGCAACTATGTAGTCAGTGTGTATTCCCCGAAACAAGGAACTCCCTGACGTGACCTCAGAACAGTGATCAGAATCAGGAAACTAGAAGTGATACTGTCTTCGTATCTACGCACCTTACCTTTCTCCAAATGATATTTTTATAGCATTAGACTCCGATTTCTTTATTATAAAATGTTCCCATAGGATTATTGGATCAAAAGAACATTTTAATGACAATACATATTTTAGATTTGTGTCTAGAAAAAGGTTGTGCCAATCGTGCCCTGGGCAGGACTGAATATAATTCAGCTTCTTACCCCTCACCACTCTGACAGCTGAGGCAGCGACGCTACTGTTTTCATGCTTTTGCTTAGTTATCAGTGAGGGTCTGAGCCCCTCTCTGGTACTGCAGACAGTCCCGCCCCAGACTGTCCTCACGCAGAACGCATGCCCACTTGCCTCATTTCAGGAGCGGCCCTGGGCCCTCTGCTGGCCGGGCTCATCTCCCCGTCGGGATGGAACAACGTGTTCTACATGCTGATGTTTGCAGATGCCTGTGCCTTACTGGTAAGTCTGTGGCTCCTTGTCAAGCAGCCTTTCGTGAGCGTCTCCGTGTGACACCTTCCCCGAGGACTCCGGCAGCTCTCAGGGACGCTGGGCCTGGGGGGTGTCCTCACTTCTCTAAATGTCGCTGCCTGAGACCCTTCCTCTTCCTGGTTTAAACAAAGGGCAGAAGCAGAAGCGGCCCATCTGCTGCTGGTGCTGCAGGCCCATGCAGAGAGGCAAAGTGCAGGCCCCCCTGGGGCTCCCGGCCCTGTCACCTGCAGGCCAGGGGAACTGTCCATGGTGTGTGGTCAGACGGGCGGCCGGGCTCTCACATCCACCGGCCGACCCTCTGCAGTGCATGCAACAGCCAGGCTGGCGGGGCCTCCCTGCCGGGAGAGGTGCACACAGGCCGAAACTTTCCTCGTGTTTCAGAGGTTGAGCTCTGTCCTTCAGAATTGTCGCCACTATTGAGGGCTTGTCCGACACTAACAAACTGCAAGTATTTTCCTCCTGCTTCCCTTTCTCTCCGTGACCCGCTTGTTATAATCACAGGCTTCTTCCTACCCACACTTCCCACCTTTGGAACTTGGTAGAATTGATGTCAGAAAAATGCCGCTTCTCTCTCTCTAGTCTGTACATTCGAGGGACTTCTAAGCTCCCACTTGAACCTGAAGCCTCCAAGGAGACGAACGTTCCTTCCCCCGGGGTTCTGGCTGAGGTTCTGGCTGAGGCTCGGTCCTGGGTCCTGCGTGGTTGCGTGGGTTTCACGCTGTCCCTCCAAACCCTCCCCCAGTGCCCGCTGCCTTCTCCCACTGGCACAGCGTCCCAGAACCAGACATCCCTCAGGCACCCGCTCAGAGCCCCAGGGCACTGCCCACCGTGGGCCTCGAGCTCTTCTGGGGCTGGTGTCACACTTGGGGGAAGACTGGAGACACACAAGGAAAACCAGTTAAATTCAGGCGGTGCTCAGCCCTCAGTCTGGACTTGGGAGCTGGTCCTGAGCCCTCTCGGCATGAAAAAGATCATGAAGGCGAAGAGCTCGCCAAGGCGAAGGCTGGGCTGTCCTCGGTTTACCCGGCAGCATCAGCAGCGCCTGGGGGCTGCAGGGCGGGCAGCGAGCGCCAAGTCCCACCGGGCCAGGCTGTGCCCAGGACCACCGCCTCAGCCGCCAGAGCCCGTGCTGAAGGCTCTCCAATCCCCCCTGTGTCACGTGGTTGTGGGTCACCTTGTCTTTCTGTCTTTTTCCCACTGGGACATTTCATGACTGGACTCACTTCGTTTTAAACATGACTTGCACCTGGAGTCCCTCTGGCTGTGCTGAAGGCTCGCCTGGCTCTGAGCCCCCTGCGCGGCTCTCCAGTCCCCCCTGTGTCACGTGGTTGTGGGTCACCTTATCTTTCTGTCTTTTTCCCACTGGGACATTTTATGACTGGACTCACTTAGTTTTAAACATGACTTGCACCTGGAGTCCCTCTGGCTGAAGTCCCTCCTGCAGCCTCATTTCCAGCAGCACGTCCTCCACAGGGATTCGTAAGCAGTAGCCCTGCGCGTTCTGAAGAAGTGTCCCGGGGGCAGACGCTGGCATGTGCTGGGCGAGCCCAGCAGGCCGTCTCCAGTGGGGGCAGGGCGGCACTCAGGGTCTCGGCTCTCGGGGTCTCCGTGGCAGTGACCGTGGTCTTGTCTTTGTTTGGGTGCAGTTCCTGATCCGCCTCATACACAAGGAGCTGAGCTGCCCAGGGTCAGCGACAGGGGGTCAAGTTCCGTAAGTGCCCCGGGCCCCTCCTCCCTGTGATTGCAGCGCTGCTGCTTCAGACGTCTCTCTGGCTTATCTGCCACCCACACCTGGCTGCTCTCACAGAAGAAAGACAACTCCCGCTTCCCCTTCATCCCACAGCTCGCTGGCTCCCCTTTTCCTTTGCCTATAAATGGCTGGTGTGGATTGAGGTCATGTCCCCTCCAGATCTGAGTGAAAGACGGGGAGACGGCCTCCTTTGTTCTCAGGGAGCTGGGCTCTTGTTCTCAGGTGGCAGCCAGAGCTCAGCCCGGCCCCTGCCCCCTTCCTGTCTCCGCTCTTCCCTTGGTCCCCAAGGCTGTGGGGCGGGGCGGGGGTGGGGAGGGAGCCCCCGAAGAGGGGAGGGAAGCTGGCACTCCCTCCAAGGGGCTTGTGCAGGGCCAGGGGGATCTGTCCTCTGACCGACCGCCATGTCTGTGTGACCAGCTGCTATTTCACCCTTTCCTTTCAGGTTTAAGGAACACTGACCACTCAGTCCTGCAGAGGGACGCCAGGCCCGTCCACAAACTGTCTTTCAAGGAAAAGTTCAAGTAAAGGATCCTGTGTTGAAAAGAATGACTTACTCCTGCCTTTTGCACATGCACCTGGAAAAGACACAAAAGCCACCTTGAGAGCTCCCGGCGCTGTTTCAGACGGGCCTGGCGCCCGCTTCCCCTTCATCCCACAGCTCGCTGGCTCCCCTTTTCCTTTGCCCATAAATGGCTGGTGTGGATCGATCCTGGTCATCTCCCCTCAAGATCTGAGTGAAAGACGGGAGACGGGAGACAGCCTCCTTTGTTCCCAGGGAGCTGGGCTCTTGTTCTCAGGTGGCAGCCAGAGCTCAGCCCGGTCCCTGCCCCCTTCCTGTCTCCCTCTCCCCTTGGTCCCCAAGGCTGCGGGACGGGGCAGGGCTGGGCAGGAACCCCCTCCCCCCCCCCCCCCCCCCACCCCACCCCCACCCCACCCCGCAGAGGGGAGGGAAGCTGGCACTCCCTCCGAGGGGCTTGTGCAGGGCCAGGGGCATCTGTCCTCCGACCGCCATGTCTGTGTGACCAGCTGCTGTCTCACCCTTTCCTTTCAGGTTTAAGGAACACTGACCACTCAGTCCTGCAGAGGGACGCCAGGCCCGTCCACAAACTGTCTTTCAAGGAAAAGTTCAAATAAAGGATCCTGTGTTGAAAAGAATGACTTACTCCTGCCTTTTGCACATGCACCTGGAAAAGACACAAAAGCCACCTTGAGAGCTCCCGGCACTGTTTCAGACGGGCCTGGCGCTCGGGGACCGCAGTGAGGAGGTGCCGCGGCCATGGTGGAGCCCGGGGGCACCGGGCACGGACTGCGGGACACTCAGGTGCCCTGTCTCTCAGGTATTTCGGTGTAGAATGCTAGACCGGGGTGAGTGCCCAAGGGCGGGAACTCCAAGGACACTCGTGGAAGACAGTCGGCTCCAGCAGCACAAGGGAGGAGGCAGCCAGCAAACAGCCCCTTCCCAGTGACGGAGCCTCGCAACTGAGTCAAACCCACGGAGCAGGACTGCCGGCACTTCCTCTCTGTGCCCACCTGACAGCCACTGTGAGACGGAGCAGTGAGGAAGCATCCACGCCTGCGGGGCCCCGGGGGCACCAGGAATGCCAGCCCCGGGGGCCCCCGGGATTCCCATCATCCCAGCTCTGGGCCCTGACACTGCTGGTCCCCTGTGGGGTCCAGGAGGACGGGGCAGGGGCCTGAGGGCTGAGGGGAGAGGCACTGGCAGTGGCTGGTCCCAGTGCAGAATGTGTTCACTCCCCACGGGCCAGACACCTGGGACGGCGGGTTTATTTATTTAGAGTGTGTGCTGTGCTATGGGAGCCTGGCTCACAGGGCATTTGTTATTTATTAAGACAGACTGATTGTTCCGTGGCCACTGTTCTCTCGGTTGTTGCCTAGCAAAACCCTTATCTACCCTTTGAAATAAAATGTTTTTTTTAAAAAACTCAGTCAGAATGGTGATTGTTCCTGCTCACTTTCCAGTAGAACTGCGTGTTCTTGGTTTTCTGTTCCAGCAGAGAAGGGCCACCCTGCTGGGGAGCAGGCCGAGCTTCCTTCAAATACAGGATGTTTTGTAAGTCATGCAATTGAAGGCATAAGCCAAGATTTGTCCTTGACTGTGAAATGTCACCCAGGGGAGGAGCGGGCTGCCCTTGAAGTCGCACACGGAGTGCAGGCTTTCAGACCTTCCTACACAGGCATCTTCCAAGTCTGCGTGACACACATTTCCCTCAGGAGGATGCGTGGATAGCACTCCCCGCTGCCCCTTCACAGCATGAAGGGCGGTGCTCGGAGCAGGTCAAGGTCACCACCAAGGTCAAGGTCACTATCGTCATTCCCACAATACCAGAGAAGGGCCAGGCCTGATGAAGGTCTTCTGAATGGCCCTGTCCTCACAAGCCGGCTAGCTTTTTCCTAACAGAAGTTACTGACACATTTAAAGGGTTTCCTCCTACTAAAAAGTTCCACAAACACCAAGTGGATTATATACAGTTTCATACACACAGTTCACTCAGCTCACAGGTTTGTTTCTCTTTTCCATCCCGTGTTTTGTCCTTCACCTCCAGCAGCTTCCTTTTCCTGGGTCCCTGTCCCTGGCTTTCAGCTGCCCCTCCGGGCCCTGCCCACAAGGATCAAGGTGGCAGCGCTGGTCCGTGCCCCTGTGGCTGCAGCCCCCTGCTCACCACCTCTGTCCTCCATGCTCACTTTTTAATTAAACTGAATAAACAAAGGGCCACTCAGTAATGCACAGAGAATTCTTTTCGAGTCTCTCTGACCTCATCAAAGGCTGAGGTCAGGTGTTAAGTGGACCCACTTCCTGTTTGCACCTTCCCAAGAGCAGCACCATCTGGAGTGGAGTGACAGGCGGCTGAGGCAGCAGTTGGCCTCCCAGCTCAAGGACAGGTATCGAGGACGGTCTTCCACAGCCACAGAGGAAGGGAGGCCTTTAGAAACGGAGAGCCTGCCCTTTTTGAAAATGAGGACCCACAGCCAAGTGTTAAAGCAGGTCAGCGGAAACACATTCTCCATCCATGATGGGAAGATTTCATCACGACTTTTAGGGAGAAGGTGTATGATTTGAATACAAAAACACACTGCGAATAATCAACAAACGACAAGTGCTGGTGAGGATGCGGAGAAAAAGGAACATTCATGCATTGCTGGTGGGAATGCAGACTGGTGCAGCCACTGTGGAAGACAGTATGGAGTTTCCTCAAAAAGTTAAAAATGGAACTCCCATTTGACCCATTGATCCCACTACTAGGAATATATCCAAGAAACCAGAAACACCAATCAGAAAGGATATATGCACCCATATGTTCATAGCAGCACAATTCACCATAGCGAAGATCTGAAAACAGCCTAAGTGCCCATCAGCAGATGAATGGATTAGAAAACTGTGGTACATCTACACAATGGAATATTATGCTGCTGTAAAAAAGAAGGAATTCTTCCCACTTGCATCAGCATGGATGGAACTGGAGAGTATTATGCTAAGTGAAATAAGCCAGTCAATGAAAGAAAAATACCACATGATCTCACTCATTTATGGATAATAAAGACCATTATAAACTGATGAACAAAAATAGATACAGAGGCAGAGCAGCATCGAACAGACTGTCAAACTACAGCAGGGAGGGTTGGGGTGGGGGTGGTGGTTTAAGAGATCAACCAAAGGACTTGTATGAATGCATATAAGCATAACCAATGGACACAAGACACTGAGGGGTAGGGGAGGCCGGGGGAAGGTCAAGGGGGAAAAAAGGAGACATATGTAATACTCTTTGTAATACCTTAAGCAATAAAACAAAATTTAAAAAAAACACACACACACATACTGCACTTCGCCTGATCCAGAGCAGTGGCTGAGGTGCCTCGTCTGCAGAGCCCGAGGGCGCAGCCGCTTGCATTCGTATGGAAATGGCACTGCCTCTCATGAATGTGTATGCGCCTGAGATTTTCCCATTCACATCCGCACAAAGTGCCAGGATGATTGAGATGCAGGCTGGCGAAGGGGCTGTGACAGAACCAGGGTGGGACCACAGTCACAAAGCAAAGAAGCCGCACAAACAAGCCCCTCGAAGTCAAAAACCAGGACCACCCCTGCAATCGCAGCTGCAAAATCCAAGGAAACAAAATTACTAAAAAAAATAACTGAAAAGAAACACGAGTCCTAATGTCTTATTGTCAGATTCTATCGGCATAAAACCACTCGGCCAAGTCAGGGCAGAAGCTGGTGACTGCTCACTCGGTCTCTGCGTATCTGATCGGGAGCTGGAGCAGCGCAGGGACTGGCCTGGCCCGGGGACCACACTTGGAGGAACGGCACAGAGGGAGGCGTGTGGCTGGGGGGTTGCTGAGGGAGAGCAGAACGGAGGCTGGCGTGAGCATGCAGGGGCTGCTGTGAATTGCCCACAGTGTGTCGTGGGGACGTCCCCAAGGGGCCTGGGCTGAGTCGCAGGCTGGCTGAGCCACAGGCCTCCGCTTCTCCAACCGGGATCCTGTGCCAGATGCAAACAGGAGAGCCCCTCGTTGAAAAGCAGGAAGAGGTGCTGTTCAAGGTTCTGAAATACAAAATGCTTTCCTGTCTTCTGCTGTAGGAGGCGGTAGGAGGAGGGGTCACAGAAGAGGGCCCTCGGCTCCGGTCCCCAGCACCCCCTTCGCTGTCCCACAGCTTCACTGACAAACCACAAAGGCAGGGATGGCATTATTCAGAATTTCAACCGGCGACTGCAGAGCATTCAGCCCCAAGCACGGGGCCCTCTGAGCACAGGGTCCCATGTGACTGCACTGGTCATGTGCCCATGACGCTGGCACAGACTTACAGTGGGAGCCGCAGGCCAGATTAGAGCTGAGCCGGTCCTGGCAGCCCCCAGAGACAGAGCCAGGGAGGAGGGGCGGGCTCACCTGGTCTCCCTCCCTGGGGGGCCCCTCCATATGACACAGCCAGTTAGGGTAGCAGCTGCCCCGTGGGCTTCCTTTTCCAGTGTGTTCCAGAATGTTCTGCCCTTTAGAGAACAAGTGCACTATGAGCGCCTCCTCCCAGGCCTTCCACAGGGAGGGCCGTCAGCCTTTGTTATCCTACACCCATCGCTTGGTGTCATTGTCACCTGAGGCTCACACCTGGTGCGCTTACTCCCTTGAGTCAAACTAAGCTGATGGCCTAAGACACGCAGGTAATTCTTCCTGCCTTGAAGTAGGTGTGAGTGAGGCCCACGCAGGGGCTGGGTCTGCACCAGGAAACCGGGGTGCTTTGGTGGACACCCGAGAAGCAGGCGGCTTGCTTCCTGGGTGTCCAACGGGCAAGGACTCCAGCATTTACTCCCTAAGCATGTGGGACCCCGAGACTGAGCGTCAGCATCATATCACGGAGACCCAGGCCCGGGCCCGGGAGCCCCCGGCGGCCGCTGTGTGCAGCAGCTGTAAACGCACAGCGTGCGACCGTATCCAGGGCCAGGGAGAGACGATTACCAGGCCCAGAACAGGCCCCGGGCCCTCCCTGCTCTTAGAAGTGCACATGACTCTGACCTTAATGTTTTTCATTTAACATGGTGAGTGAGCGGCGACCACGCGCCTGTCGGCCTCTGGGGCTCCCTTCCGAGCCGTCCTCTTTATAGCTTTGCCCCGTTGG